GACGCAATGCTTCTATGTTGGCTGTTCCTTCCGAATCAGTATTCAGGAAAACGGTGAACGTTTTCTCCGATGTGTTTAGATTTATCTGAACCTTTGCCATTCCAATGTAGACGGCTATATCATTAAGAGCCTGGTAGTTTGAATGTGTCTTCGAATTATTTTCAGGTCGAGGATTGGCAGGGGCTTTGATCCTGTGGGTATGCTTGTAAACCAATACCATGACCAGAACTACAAATGTTCCAACCGAGAAGGCAAGGGATACAATCTGCAAAATATTCACTGCATTCTTTCCTTTTTCATGGTTTTCTTCAGGTTTGGGGGCCAAGTTTATGCTTTCGAAACCTTGAAAATTTTCTGTAAAAAGTAATATTACATGTAGTTTTAAGGTGAAATATCTCTGCTCCAAATTTCTGCATTTTTTTAAACCAATTCCCACATTGGTTTTCAAATGTATGTTAAGTAATCAGGCAGAATGCAGAGCACTCTTAATTTTTTTCTATTTTGAAATGAACTGACATAAAGCTGAATTGCATACTGGGGAAGCAGGTGGACCTAAAAATAAGAAATCATCTCAAATAAAAATGTTCTTTGTATTGACTATAAATTTTCTGTTATTTGCATGTTGAAAGACATAATATTTTGAATATAGAAACAAACTTTTTTCCGACTATTCCGGTAAAAAAAATCATTCATCATTTTTAGCTCACCTCAACGAAGTTGGGGGAGCTTATTTAATACCCTCGGCGTCGGTGTCGGCGTCCCAGGTAAAGTTCTTTGGAGCAATTTTCTTTTTAAGTACTTCTATGTCCTATATTGATTAGACATGCATTGAAGATGCTTCTAGTGTGTTTCATTGTACCAGTCAAAGTTTCAGATGCTGCAATTTCAGCAAAGGTTAATGTTTTTGGAGCAGGTCAACATTTTTGGTGCAGTTTTTGGTGAAGGTTTCATTTCCAAGTAACTATTAGCCCTATGTTGACCAAACTTGCATGGATGATACATCTAAGGATGCATACTACTGGGCTTGCTTTGGATGCTGAATCTGACCTACATTTTCCGGTTGAGTGAACAGGTCAAAGTTTTTGGTGCAGCTTTCATTTCAAATTAACTATGAGCCCTATGTTGACCAAACTTGCATGGATGATACATCTAAGAATTGCATACTACCGGGCTTGCTTCAGATGCTGAATCTGACCTACATTATCCGGTTGAGTGAACAGGTTAAAGTTTTTGGTGCATGATTCATTCTCAAGTAACTATGACTTCTTTAATGACCAAATTTGCATGGATGATACATCTAAGGATTGCATACTACCGGGCTTGCTTCGGATGCTGAATCTGACCTACATTTTCCGGTTGAGTGAACAGGTTAAAGTTTTTGGTGCAGGTTTCATTTCCAAGTAACTATAAGCCGTATGTTGACCAAACTTGCATGGATGATACATCTAAGGATGCTTACTACCGGGCTTGTTTCGGATGCTGAATCTGACCTACATTTTCCGGTTGAGTGAATAGGTTAAATTTTTTGGTGCAGCTTTCATTTCAAATTAACTATGAGCCCTATGTTGACCAAACTTGCATGGATGATACATCTAAGGATGCATACTACAAGGCTTGCTTGGGATGCTGAATCTGACTTACATTTTGTGGATGAGTGAAAATGTTTTTGATGCATGTTTCATTTCCAATTAACTATGAGCCCTATAATGAGCAAACTTGCATGGACGATACTCTTAGGATGCACACTAATGAACTTGCTTCGGATGCTGAATTCGACGTACAATTTTCAGATAATAGACCAGGTAAAAATTATGGGTGCAGGTCAATTACCAAAAAACTTAAAGGCTTATATAACATTGTATAAACCAAACCAAACTTGCACAAATATTGCATCAGGAGATGAAAACTCTCAAATTTGCTTCAGATGCTTAATTTTAATTACATTTTCATGAAGAACTAGTTTAAATTTTTTTATGTAGGTCTATTTCAATGTATCAGATCAAAATTGCTTAAATATTTTCATTTCTGGAATGTACACTTTTTGTTGGTTAATTGTGTGACTTTGCCTTACTTAAAGGCAACATTCGTTGAGGTGAGCTCTGTAATCTCTGATTACCTATGTTTAAATAGTATTTTTGCACTCCGGACTGCAGTAAATTAAAAAAAAAGCATAAAGCACAAAATTCATAAAGAAATTGTGCAATATTTACCATAGTCCACTATTTCACAATTAAATCCCAACTTTGCATAGAATCTTGAATTATTTCCTTTTAGTGAGAAAACTGACCAAACGATATATTTAATAGATAAAACTTAGTATATATTTATGATAGCATATTTTCCTTAACAAGGAAAATATTGTAAAAATCAGATGTAAACAAATAACAATTTACTCATCAATAATTGTATTTATTCATATTTAATTAGTAATAATTAGTTTTAAAAAAGTTGTGTTCTCCTGACCAATTCAAGACCACGGAAGTCTTGAAAGTAGAATTAGTAGAAAGTAGAAAGTAGAATTATGAAGGTAAAATAACATCAGTATACGATCTGTTGTCTCAGTGTAGTTAGGGTAAAATTGCTTAACTTTATATCATTTTTCGGTGCGTTTATTTTTTATATCCATAAAAATCAAAGATAAGATAAAACACATCTGATTTGATGAAATAAAAAAAAAAGATAAAACTCTCAGTAATTTAGTACTTACATTCAAATAGATCATTATTGATTGAAGAATATTTCTTAGCATAAATAGATTTTTTTCATCTTTTAACTTGAATGTGACAATATATGTTACACTCCTGACAATATTAATACAGGTCTGATTAAGCACAGACGGACCTAGTAAACATAAGAATGTGCTTAAAGTCTGCGAACTCTCCGGACAATCCTTTATTCAACCCTATATCTGTATAAACTTTACTAGAAGTTAACCCGATTGCCTTAGACATTTGGTAGTTTGGAAATAAATCTAAAAAAAAAAATCAAAAGAAAAAAACATAAGATACATGTACCCTGATACCAAACTTAATATCAAAGATATCCCCAATCTCCTCGATGTGAGCTAAAGAGTGAAGTTGAAGAAACAAAATTGATTTTTTTTTTAATGAAAATATATTGAAATGAAACATCATTTGTAGGTTGTACATTTCTAATTTACCTGTTGTGGTCATTGGACACCCAAATGAAACATTACACTCAGTCTTTTCACACTCGACACACTGATAGGCACAAGCTTCTCCATATCGGCCTGGACTACATTGACCAGTACAGTTTATACCGAAGTAACCTGGGCCACACCCTGAATGGTGAGAAACATATGTTATGTAGAATTACATATGACCAAAAAATATATGGTTTATATGCATTTTTAAAAGAAGGACATTAAGGTTGTACATCATCTGTATGAATTTGACTATATCCGTAACTTAAAAAATAATGGAACGTTTCCACCCTTGCAGATTTAATTTATAATTTATAATTAACATAAACTGTGCATTTCGCAAAGCCGGGTGTTCTGAATCAATACATTGCTGCCGAACCACTGGCAAAATTTAGTATTAGTGGGCTGAGTGCAGTGACGTCTTTCAAAAATAGAAATTACAGATCTTGAAAGTTTTTCTTATCTCTCAACCAATCACATAAAGGCAATTCTATGACAATGAAATGTGCAAAAGTCCATTAAACAACACAAATGAAGAGCATTGCAAATACGGACCTCCTAATTATCAAATTTGGGATCAGATGTCGTGGAGGAGTTAATTAACATCCCTTGCCGACAGATCACATCAACGGTGTTATCCTTGTCATGATTTGGAGATAATGAAAAATTCTGTCGACAATTATGTGTGTAAATTATGGTTTAACAATTAGTATGAAAAACGTCAGTCAGCAATTGACGATAAACTGTGTTTGCTGACAAGGTTATATCGAGAATACAAATTACGATATGATGACTTTAACGAGATTGCTGATATTCTTGTTTCATCTACTTGTCGTCAATAACGTATCCCTCGTTTTATAAATTGTTCATACGTAGAACATGCCCTTGCGTATAGCATCAACTCATAGAGATGTTATTTTACGCAGGCAAGGAATAAGTAAGGGAAAGTTAAAGTCGTCACGTTTATCATAATGCTTGTTTATTTGATTACCATAAATGTTTTCTTCAAGTAATTGAATGTCCAATATAAAACAGATGTGTCAGACACTGTGGTATCTTTTATTTCAAGTTTACCGGGATATATTATATGCACAACAATGCATCGTCATATTATATAAATGTTGAGTTGAAGGCCACGGCACATCAACAACTTTTAACACGTGCACACTGAATCCGTTCTGTAATTTTACATTATCTATATAACTACCTATGCATTTATGAAAGCCAAAACTTTATTTGTGCTTCGCAATGAGAGAAGCAACCCCAAAAATATCTAATCAAATTTTCCAGCTAGGGGTTCACGCCAACGGCAAAGTGTTAACTTATGACCCCCTGGAATTTGCGAGGATGAAACCCTTTACATGTATATGCATTTAAACTTTTTGTTAAAATTCTGAAATATCGATTTAAATACAAGTATTTATATATACGTATATAATTTACTTTAAAACATTTTATCATGAAAATTCTTCCTCATTTTATTTTCAATGTTTTATATCTATAATTGATCCTGTACAGGAAATGTTTGGGAAACAAATTAAAATTCAACATCACGAGACACTGTGTACACTCTAAAAGGATTATTTTATATTTTTATCAATGTAATAATAAACAAACACTGCATATTACAGATTTCACTTAAATGATCTCGTGGAGGACACTGCAAGGGCCAATTAAAGATCAGGCAAATACTGAGTATGGTGATTACATAATTTATCTCTATTTTTGCCTAAGCTTTAATCAGATCTCTGATCAAATCGGAAATGCATATTTATATTTTTTTAATTATGCAATAAAATGTAAAAAGAAACACATGTCCGATAATAGGGAAAGTTACTTGTGCTGCAATCTTTTGTGATTTCATTCCATTTATAACCAGTACAACACTCAGTTTCTCCATTCTTTCTAAAAAAAACCAACCAACAAACAAATAGAGTACAAATGTACATGAATATGATAAATCATTAAATGAATATGGCATTAAGGAGGACCGTTCTGGAAAAAAGGCCAGATTTGTATTGAAACCGTACCTAGCTTTTAAATATTTTTACAAAGCAAAACCCACAAAATTTAAGTTATTGAGCATAATAAACTAAGAACAAGCGAACAAAGGTTTGCAGTAATATTAATAATAATATAATTAGTAAATGCTATTAATTTTGAAGATTCAGACTTTACAAGTCTTGGTCTAAGCCGTAATTTCTTCACAAGGCCTGGGGGCCATAATACTTAGGCGAGCCTATTTTGGTCTCAGTCTCTTTTTTCCACTATTAATTCTTTTATAAAAGGTGAGACTGAGATCAAAAGTGAGATCTAAGTTTTATGGCACTCAGGTCTTGTATACTTGCTATCTTAATAAATAAAAAAATGATATGATTATGAAGAAGTAATGCAGATGGTCTCTGGACGGTTAGTTGACAGGGCAATGTCGGATTAACTTCTAAATAATAAATACATTTCCAAAATTTACTCCTATTAGCATTTGACCAATCTATCAGGAAATCAAAAGTTTTTAATAACAGTTCATAAGATGGCTAAAATAGTGAAATACATACCCAACACAGTTTATTGCACTGTCCCTTTGAAAAACGATGGTAAAAATAATAATATTTTGGTAAATTGTATTGCTCCACAGAAAAAATTCAAATAATTTGTTTAACTTAAGTGCATTGCCTTTTAAAGTGCTCAATTTTCAAGTGAACTCAGTCCTCATTTCGCTCATACTAGAATTTAACTTCATTACTGATTCGATTTTTAACGGAATCCGAATAGATATTGAATTACAAAAAAATACAACAATAATTGCTATGGATTATTTTACAGAAATTAACTTTTCTCCTGTCTATTTTGAAAAGAATTATAGTAATATATTCAAGTTTACCGGGATACATCGTATCCATACATGATTCAAAACAACCATTTCTAATTGACAACACGTCGTCATTTTATATAAATGTCGAATTGAAGGTCACGGTACATTAACAACTTTTAACTCGTACACACTGAATCCGTTTTGTAAATCTAAATTATCTAACCAAAAATGTATTTATGAAAGCTATAATTTGCTTCGCAATGAGAGAAGCAACCCCGAAAATATCAAATGAAATTTGCCATGGCACCATGCCAACGACAATGTGTTAACTTATGACCCCTGGAATTGCAAGGATGAAACCCTATATATACATTTAAACTTTTTGTTAAAATTCTGCAATATCAATTCTATATTTATAAATATATAATTTACGTTGTAACATTTTATCATAAAAATACTCCCTTATTTTATTTTATTACGTTTTGCTTTCAATTTCCGCATTTATTTTTAATGTTTTCAATATCTATAATTGACCCTTTACAGGAAAATTTTGGGAAATAAATAAATTTAAAGTCACGATACACTGTCTACATTATCTCTAAAAATGTGATTATATGTATTTTAATAAATTAATGCACTTCTATAGAAATATTGTATATTACAAATTTAACTTAAATGATCTCGTGAAGGACACTACAAGGCTCAGTTAATGATCATTCAAATACTGCGATTGCACTATCAAACTATCTTTTTACCTAAGCTTTAATTTGATCTCTGATCAAGTCGAAATTGCAAATATTTGTTGTATTATATTATTATGCAATATAATGTTAAAAGAAACACTTGTTTAATAAAGTATGAAAGGTACTTGTGCTACAATCGTTTGTGATTTCATTCCATTTATAACCAGTGCAACACTCAGTTTCCCCATTCTTTCTAAAAAATAAAAAACCAAAGTACAAATGAAGATGAATAAGATAAATCATTAAAGGACGATGACATAAAGGAGGACCATTCTGGAAAAAAAAGACGTAATTAATTTGGTACATTTCTAGTTCTATGCAGAGAAGACTCAAAGAGACTCATTTCTGTGCTTATTTTCCTTTATGAAATAGTGAGCGTCTCTAGCTGTCGCCTAGTTTAATTTGTTTAAAATAAATGCATTGAAAAATCACACACTCAAAATCTTTGTGGGCGATACATGCACCGTATTAAAATAAAATGCACAGATTCATGACGTCACCATTAGCACTTATAGAAGGTAATAATTCAGAAAGGATGAATTTGAATATCTAACAAAATTTCTAGAATTTAGAAAAATACGGGGTAAGATTTGTTTTGAAACCGTACCCTGCTTTTGTATTGAAACCTTGATCATAGAGGTTCTTTATTACATATGTATCATAAAGACAGATTTTAATAGCAAAATAAAATTCATTCAAAAATACAGCTCATATAATGACGTCTCTGACAACGATTTCCTCTTAAGAGACTTCCTTCCATATCACTTAGTGTAAGGAAGTAAAATCGATTATGACTAATCATTATTTCTAACCCATGGAAGTACTCAATTAAGCAAATATGTTAATATTTATTACAATACAGTACACCTCTGATCAATACATTTAATTCATTAACATGATTTTAATATGTCTCAAAACATCTTCATTTTTAAAGGGGGCGGTGCACATAAATTTTCATTACTAAAATCAGATACCTTATCTGTTTTCAGATATACTGAATCAAGTGATTATTAGATATTTGCCAATGTGTATGAAGTTCAACGTTAAGAAACTTAGAGTTATCTATCTTTGTATGCAAAAAATTAAGCTGCACGAAATAATCAGGTTTATCCATATTATGTCAATCAAGCTTATACATAAATTTAATTAACATTAGTTTTTAACGTTAACTTAATGTTATTTTAACGTTAAGTTAACGTTGGGTTTTAGCTTAACGTTATTCTTTAATATTTATTTAAGGTTGGATTCTTCTCATATTTATTTCATTTAAAAATGAATTAAATTTACATAGAATCAAGAAGACAATATTACTAATTAATGGTATCAGTGAGATTAAGTTTGACCGTTTAATATTAAAGGCAATGTCAGGTCAATTTCCTAACCCATTTCCTGGACATTACGAATAAATTATTACTGTTTCCTATCATGTGATCCCTACTTCCATTTCCAAAGATTTTATGTTTTTCATTTTGCATAAAAAGATACTACCATATAGGGCCTATAACTTGTCATTACCAAATTGACATAAATGATCTAATCTAATAAAATATGGATATTGGCTTATCCGAATTTTCTCTATTTTTCTTAATTTTTTAAGATATATGTTATTTTCCTATGCATCTTATATTCAAATTTTTCTTTTTGTAACATATGGTAAAGTTGACACATAAAGATACAAGATAATAAAAAAAAATGATCGTTTACTTAAAGAGAAGAAGAACACTTTTAACGGATATTTGACTCAAATGTGTACATAGATTGGAAGCTTTGAAAAGCTCACATAGTTCTAGTTTGTTTAAAAAATCATATTATATTTTGATACATTTTGAAACTTAAATTTCTTATTATTTATTTAACTCACATTTGAAAATTTATTCAAGTCTTTGATTGTGTAAAAATTATAACTAAATTCAATGTTCTAAAATAATTTTGAAAGGCAGAAAAGAAGATATTTTCATACACCACAATTCCGTCAAAAATAAAGTCCCTGCTAGCATTTCATTTGTTTGGGATAAGGTTTGGTAAGTCCTGACAATTTGTTGGGAAAATCACAGATATCGAAGTTGGGACCCGAACAGATCTAGAACTGTTCTGGGATTTTTGTACATCAAATTTGGAATCAACAATGTTCTTCGAAAGTCCAGTGTTTGTGGATTTTAATTGTCAACAATATACACCCCTTTGCGTCCACACGAACAACTATTTCATCAAAATATTTATTCATTGAATCTTTTATATCTACAGGTTAGCCATGAAATTATATCCCCACGAACCAACAAAATTTGCTTGTCCGTTAACATTGACCTACATGAATTAAAATTTTCCACGTAATCCTCTGATCTGTAAGATTTTATCTTTTGCAACGTAAAATTTAAGGTTTTGCCTAAAGTCAACAGGGTCAACATGCCCAAAAACTATTTTTACAATAGCTCCAAAACAATGTGGATCATAAAGTTTAAACTTTTACAGTTTATAAGGCAGATTAATTTGCCCTTGTGACAAATCTCATTTAATTGACGGAAGCACGTTTTATATTGTTAAAACTAACAATGGAACGAATTAGCAAAACTATAACAGTCATCTTGGTACGAGTTAATTAGTTGGTATCACTTCCGCTTCCGCCACTCGGAAAAAGAGCGCGGCAAAGAAAACAGCCATTAAAATTATTATCCAAAGCAATCGAAACAATCCGCACACTGCAATCGCCAAAAAATGCCGCCAGTCAGAGGAAAAGTGAATACGCGGTCCAGGAAGGATCGGGACCGTAACTTCGTGTCATCAGGGAGAGGGCGAGGGATTCGGAGGCGACCCAACCAGGCCAATTGGACCCCGCACGCTGACCCACCAACCACCAGACCACCGCAGAGGGGAAACCCGGCCAGGACACCTACGCAACCAGCCACAGTAACGGTTGCGGATCCCATGCCGCACTTACCAGATCTCTCAGAGGGCCTAGACGAGGCTGAGACCTCAAGCAACACGGGTGAGTCCAATATTTTGAGCCTCTCCACAGCAAACGATTTATCTCTTAACACAATCAGTAATGAATTTGATGGCCCCCATTTAACATCTCAGAATACCAACCGGTCCAGACCCCCAGCAGTATAGACCCTATCAGCGCCCATGTCCCCCTAAAAATTAAATAAAAGATTTGGGAGGGAAAATTTATTGATCTATCAATATTACTAAAATCGGCACGGGAAATTTCGGACCATCTAGACACACAAGGCCAAATACAAATACGTAACGGCACAATGTGCCTCGTTAAGCATAAAACACGCACCTTTTTGTCAATTGAAAAATGGACTTCAGCCTTCCTCATCTTCACAAGTATAATGTTAGAAAAATACAGAACAAGAGCCCAAGAATTTTTGAAATGTATGAGGGATATTAGAATGGCCGCTGATAGATCTGGGAACGGTTGGTTCACTCATGATGAACAATTTAGGCTGCGCAAAGTATCTGACCCACACTCATCTTGGGGCATCATAAACTCCGAACTCTGGTTGATGCATGTTACAAACAACTATGGCACTCAGGCCCAAGAAAAGCCTATTTCCACCCCACAAAATGCCTACTCTCATCACAAACAACCAAACGTTACAGTGGCTAAGAAAAATGCAAATTCAACATTAAATCGTTACTGCTATGATTTTAATTCAGGCAAGTCATGTAAATTTTACCCAAATTGCAGGTTTGTCCACTCCTGCAATTCATGCGGCGGCTCACACCCCTCAATCGAATGCAGGAATAGATGCCAAATTCTAACATGGATATCAACAGTGTAGGGAAAACTCCAATTGATGTCCACATTTTGTCTGCTTATCTACAAGGTTACAGTGCTAAATCTTTTCTTATAAATGGTTTTCTACATGGTTTTCGACTCCAGTACAATGGCCCAAGAATTTACAGGGAAGCAAAAAATTTAAAAAGTGCTATAGTAAACCCCAATATAGTGGAACAAAAAATACATAAAGAACTGCTGCATTCCAGGGTGGGGGGACCATTTGAATATCCACCATTCCCATTCCTTCAAATCTCACCATTGGGACTTGTTCCCAAAAGAGATGGAGATTTGAGACTCATTCACCACCTGTCCTTCCCGGATCATCAATCGATCAATTCTTTTATAGATCCGACTGCATGTTCAGTACATTATGCATCAGTTGACGATGCAGCGGCTATCATTGCGACACTTGGGGCCGGCACTTTATTAGCTAAATCTGATATAAAATCTGCATTCCGGCTCATTCCTGTGGCCATTGATGATTTCAGTCTATTAGGGTTTAAGTTCCAAGGTAAATATTTTTTCGACAAAATGATGCCATTCGGGGCATCAATTAGCTGCG